CCGTACCCACCCCCATTCAGATGACGTAATCATAAGGACATAACATATTCTAAAGTTTCACTTATTCATACATAGAGCCAAGGGTTCCAACTAAATACTGATTGGTCAAACAAGTGTCAGCTCTTAATATATTGTAAGTGTAAGTGTAAGAAAGACTAGATGAGGGTGTCCTTAAAGTACAGCCCCCGTCTAAATATATCTCAAGCAATCCAAATCTTTGACTGTTGATGGGAAGTCATCAAATACTAAACTGAAATTTTTTATATGATATTATCTGAGGGCATATTGTTATCCCATTCTCTTCCCACAGAGATAATTTGCCATTTCTTCCTACAAACCTCTGTTCTAATACGGTCATATTTCCCGGTTCTCGTAAAATCCCCTAGCGGCATAAAATCGCAACACGAATTATCTCCCTTCTTTCTGTCCAGTCAGAACACGTGTTACATCAACTTGACTAATAGAAGCAAATGTTGGGTCACAAATATCCCTCCTCTGCCAGGAACGTGTGTTGATGTGACACACAAGACATTTAATGGCTAGCCTGTCCGTTGTCAACTGAGGCCTTGCGAATGATCACTTTTGAAACAACGTCGCTGATTGCACAACTAAATCTGATTGCAACCAATCACGAATCCTGAACACTCGCACCATGAGTGGGCCGTATTAGAACAGATGTTCGTAGGAAGATATGACAAGTAACCTCTGTGGGAAGAGAATGGTCGTTATCGAAGAGGTACCAAATGACAGATCGTTTTTCATTTTCTGCAATTCTTTTAGAAAATATTATACCCCAATGTGTTGTGATGACTAGCATTTCGTTAACCACATTACCCCACATATGTGAAATTTTGGACATGGCTTTGCTAATGATTCCCTCAAAATAGAATTAAGGAAGATTTTCAAACATTGGACACAGAAAAAAAATAGTTAGTCCGACTACTTTTTGACCGACCCTCGTACGACAAATCCAGTTCTCACACTAGGAGGTAGATACCTATTACGACAAATCCAGTACTCACACTAGGAGGTAGATACCTATTACGACAGATCCAGTACTCACACTAGGAGATGGATACCTGTTACGACAGATCCAGTAATCACACTAGAAGGTGGATACCTGTTACGACACTAGAGGTGGAGGTGGATACCTATTACGACAGATTCAGTACTCACACTAGGAGGTAGATACCTATTACGGCAGATTCAGCACTCATACTAGGAGGTGGATACCTATTACGACAGATTCAGTACTCACACTAGAAGGTGGATACCTATTCCGACAGATCCAGTACTCACACTAGGAGGTAGATACCTGTTACGACAGATCCAGTACTCACACTAGGAGGTAGATACCTATTACGACAGATCCAGTTCTCACACTAGGAGGTGGATACCTATTACGACAGATTCAGTACTCACACAGGAGGTAGATACCTATTACGACAGATCCAGTACTCACACTAGGAGGTAGATACCTATTACGGCAGATTCAGCACTCATACTAGGAGGTGGATACCTATTACGACAGATTCAGTACTCACACTAGGAGGTGGATACCTATTCCGACAGATTCAGTACTCACACTAGGAGGTAGATATCTATTAAGACAGATCCGGTACTCACACTAGGAGGTAGATACCTATTACGACAGATTCAGTACTCACACAGGAGGTAGATATCTATTACGACAGATTCAGTACTCACACAGGAGGTAGATATCTATTAAGACAGATCTAGTACTCACACTAGGGAGGTGGATACCCATTACGACAGACGTACTCACACTAGAGGTGGATCATTCCGACAGACAGTACTCACACAGGAGGTAGATATCTATTACGACAGGTTCAGTACTCACACTAGGAGGTAGATATCTATTAAGACAGATACCCATTACTCACACTAGGGGAGGTACGGATACTCACACATTATCTATTAAGACAGATTCAGTACTCACACAGGAGGTGGATATCTATTACGACAGATTCAGTACTCACACAGGAGGTAGTACTACGACAGATTCAGTACTCACACAGGAGGTAGATATCTATTAAGACAGATCCGGTACTCACACTAGGAGGTAGATACCCATTACGACAGATTCAGTACTTACACAGGAGGTAGATATCTATTACGACAGATCCAGTACTCACACAGGAGGTAGATACCTATTACGACAGATCCAGTACTCAAACTAAGAGGTACATACGTATTACGACAGATGCAGTACTCACACTAGGAGGTAGATACCTATTACGACAGATCCAGTACTCACACTAGGGGGTGGATACCTATTACGATAGATTCAGTACTCACACAGGAGGTAGATATCTATTACGACAGATCCAGTACTCACACTAGGAGGTGGATACCTATTACGACCTCGTTTGGAAAGAAACGTAGTGCCTTTCTTCTCACTGTAATTCTTACAAACTGATTATACATGCACGTCTAGCCAAATGTATTTTGTCGCTTGGAAATAGAGATTACCTAACGAGTGTCTTTGAGATACACGCATCCACCAACACGCCCTCTCCCGCGTCTTCTCCCCTCCATTCCCATCTAGTCTTTCACCCTCTCCTGTCTTCCTCTCCCTATTTCCACACTTTCACTTCTAGTACTTATCCTATATTTGCCCTAATTTTTCAATATAGTGTGTAAAGCAAATGCTGTACATTTCCGAGGATGTTACTTTCACATCCTTGGATAATATCTTCATCTCTATGTGAAATGGATATACGAGCATTTGTTTTCACATAGTAGCAGTGTAACTATATATATATCTCGCTATATATATGTACTTATGTATCGGATATGTAACATCTTTCCCTATGCTAATAAAAAAATACATAATTGACGGCCATTAATGGTTGAACGGTCATAAAATCATACAAATAAACGTCAAGGTAAAGGTCATAGTTTTTCAGAATTGATAAATATCAAACATGACAAACATGTTAAAATTGCCTTTAAAACCAGAGGAAATCATTTGTGTGATCTTGTTGTGGTCGATTCCACGGTCAGTTTGGATAGTTGCCAACTAAACAAGTTAGAGTTGGTTGTCACAGAAATATATATATTAAGCTTATTTTGTTCAATATTGTATTTCGCGCGAAGTTGTTTTTGTTGATTTATTGGCGGAAATCAATGTTAATAACGTTTATATGAATGTATGTTGTTTACAAGTTTTACATGTATGTGTGAAAAACTATGTATTTGTGAGAAAACATTGTTTTCTTCGTGGGAGATTGAATCAATATTTTGTTTTTAATAATTACTTTGGCTTTGTATGAAATTTTACAATGATATATTTTGAAGTAAAAAGTGTTGATTAAGATGAAAAAAAAAGTCTTTGAGATACCATTTATCTTACAACGAGTTGTTTCAAAACGATTTTTACGAGCGAAAGCGAGTTAGATATGTTTCTCAACAACGCGTTGTAAGATAAATGGTATCTGACAGACACGAGCAAAGTAATCTGTTTCTTACACACCACACAATCGCACCATTTTATGGTCGAATAGATTCAAATTTCATATTTTCTCATCGTAGCTGCGCAATAATACACAGCACAACGTTTATGAATGAGTGACGTCACTTGGCCTCCTAATCACTATTCATCCCCAAGGTGACCCTCCACAAAAAAGTTTCTGCCACATCTTCGCGTCATCAAGACAAAAGTGATAATGCAAACTAGATAAGATCACAGAAAATGAATTAATCACTCTAAAGCGATTATGTTAACGTGTACATGTAGATGATTTTACTTCTTGCAAGCATGAAATAATTGAGCGTGTTATCCTTATTGTTTGTAGTCATCGGAAGATTTGTTTGGATATCTCTGCACACTGGGGATCCGCACCACTTTTCGTTCAATGTTCTCCCATAGACCGGAGACAAAACTACTGAGTGTGTGTGTTACCCGTGTGCGTGAATGTGTCATTGCTGAGGTTACTTCACTATCAATGGGGGGACTACTCTTCTTCGCCACAACCTTCTCGTTTTCCTCAACAAACTGCCACTTGGAATGTTACAGACGTTACGGTGTTGACAGTATGAAATGTGAATTGAATGTTAAGAAAACATGAAATTTACATCATTTTGCGCCTGAGGAATAATGACTTCCGTAGATCAGCCGTTCCTGTACATGTTCGATTGATTCGAAAGGACGTGTGTCGCCATTGCAACCCTTGCAAACGCCCCATGTTGTACATTGTTTCAACGAGTGTGTTTTGGTCCTGATTGTCACGAGTGTATTTCTTAACATTGGAATAATCACATAGTACAATAGTAGCTCGGAGCTGGACATGGATGCTGATCGGACTGACGTTATAGTGTCAGGTATTTTGTATAAATGACACTTGTTGCATCTCTCCAGTATTAATACAAAGTAACAAGGTTGTAATTTTTCACATAATTGTTTACACAGGTATCACTGATTGTTTAATCCATTTTGAATTTATGACTAGAATCAAAAGTTTTCATAAAAGGAATTAGAAAATAACTAGATTTGTTTCTCACCCACGGGCGTGTAAGAATATTTGATAATTGTGAGTGGAAACAAGCAATGCTGACATTAATAATTCAGAGAAAAGATCTACCATAGACAACACAGTTCAAAACATGAAGGAGTGGAGTTTAAAACGTTGGTTCGTCACGCTGAAGACCCAGGTTCGATTCCCCACCATTTCTGGTGTCCACCGCCGTGATATTGCTAGAATATTGCTAAACACGGGAAAAAATACATGCTCACTCACTCACTCACTCACTTACCCATGAAACACAAGACAGTCAATCACTCAGGGAATTGAGGTTAAAGACAAACATTACCACACAGGAATGAAAAAATATATATAATCCGACATTGGTTTAAAGTTATATTGGGTTCGTGGCATTTGTACAATGTCTTAAAAAGCGCATACCTTCTCAATGTAAATGTAAAAAGTTGGTTTCACTTACAGTCATCTATCAAAGACGACAAAGGACACAATAAGACATAGTGCTATAAACATTTTATTTGATATCGCCTCTACAATATCAACCGTTTGAAAAAGGTAACATTCAACATATATTTTACATGAAACGGGTGACAAAACGGTAGTAAATACATGGGTGTCAAAACAGTATTTAATCCATGGGTGTCAAAACGGTAGTTAATACATGGGTGGTAAAACGGTAGTTAATACATGGGTCGTAAAACGGTAGTTAATACATGGGTGTCAAAACGGCAGTTAATACATGGGTGTCAAAACGATTGTTAATCCATGGGTGTCAAAACGGTAGTTAATACATGGGTGGTAAAACGGTAGTTAATACATGGGTGGTAAAACGGTAGTTAATACATGGGTGGTAAAACGGTAGTTAATACATGGGTGTCAAAACGGCAGTTAATACATGGGTGTCAAAACGATTGTTAATCCATGGGTGTCAAAACGGTAGTTAATACATGGGTGGTAAAACGGTAGTTAATACATGGGTGGTAAAACGGTAGTTAATACATGGGTGTCAAAAGTCCTATAGTAATCATCTATTCTGATCTGGATAGAAACAGTCCTATAGTAATGACCTATCCTCACCTGGATAGAAACTGTCCAATAGTAATGACGTATTCTGACCTTTATAGAAACAGTCCTATAGTAATCATCTATTCTGACCTTTATAGAAACAGCCTTATAGTAATGACGTATTCTGACCTTTATAGAAACAGTCCTATAGTAATCACCTATGCTGACCTTTATAAAACCAGTTCTATAGTAATGACATTTTCTCCCCTTGATAGAATCAGTCCTATAGCAATCAACTATTCTGACCAGGATAGAAACATTCCTATAGTAATCAACTATTTAGACCAGGATAGAAACAGTACTATAGTAATGACTTATTCTGACCTGTATCGAAACATTCCTATAGTAATGACCTATTCAGACATGGATAGAAACAGTATTATAGTAATGACCTATTCGGACTAGGGTAGAACAAGTCCTATAGTAAACACCTATACTGACCAGGATAGAAACAGTCCTATAGTAATGACCTATTCTGACCAGGATAGAAACAGTCCTATAGTAATCACCCATTCTGACCTGGATAGAAACAGTCCTACAGTAATCACCTATTTTGACCTAGATAGAAACAGTCCTATAGCAATCTATTAGGATGTAACACACCTATAGTAATCACCTATTGTGATCTTTATAGAAGCAGTCCTATATTAATGACCTATTCTCACATGCACAGAAACATTCTCTTATAGTAATGACCTATTCTGACATGGGTAGAAACAGTCCTATAGTAATCACCTATTCCGAACTTGATAGAAACAGTCACATGGTAATGATATATTCTGACCTGCATAGAAACAGTCCTCTCGTAATGACCTATTCTGAACTGGACAGAAACAGTCCTATAGTAATGACCTATTCTGACTTGGATAAAAAAGTCCTATAGTTATCATCTATTCTGACCTGGATAGAAACAGTCCTATAGTAATGAGCTATCCTCACCTGGATAGAAACAGTCCAATAGTAATGACCTATCCTGACCTGGATAGAAACAGTCCTTTAGTAATGACCTATCCTCACCTGGATAGAAACTGTCCAATAGTAATGACCTATTCTGACCTTTATAGAAACTGTCTTATAGTAATCATCTATTCTGACCTTTATACAAACAGCCTTATAGTAATGACCTATTCTGACATGGGTAGAAACAGTCCTATAGTAATCACCTATTCCGAACTTGATAGAAACAGTCACATGGTAATGATATATTCTGACCTGCATAGAAACAGTCCTCTCGTAATGACCTATTCTGAACTGGAAAGAAACAGTCCTATAGTAATGACCTATTCTGACCTGGATAAAAAAGTCCTATAGTAATCATCTATTCTGACCTGGATAGAAACAGTCCTATAGTAATGACCTATCCTGACCTGGATAGAAACAGTCCTATAGTAATGAGCTATCCTCACCTGAATAGAAACAGTCCAATAGTAATGACCTATTCTGACCTTTATAGAAACAGTCCTATAGTAATCATCTATTCTGACCTTTATAGAGACAGCCCTATGGTAATGACCTATTCTCACATGTGCAAAAAGAATCTCTTATAGTAATGAGCTATTCTGACTATTTTACGGTTCTTCAACCTCCTCGTCGTATTAACCTTCCGTAACAGCTTTGTAGGACACTGAGAAGCCTGTATGAGCAACAGATCCGTCAGTTCGGAACCTGACCATCATGGTGTTGCCAGTGGTTGTCAGGGTCCGGGATGTGGTTTGATTGCCACACATCCTGGCTAACAGTGGGGCGGAGTCATCCTCTCCTCCATAGACCTGAGGAACACAAGGTGTTAACGTCACATCGTGTGAGGCTCTGTTGTATTCTATATGTCCTCAGTATTAAAGTGTGGCACTCTCTGACCTCCATCAGCCTTACATTGATTTTTTTTTAACTTGTCTTTACATGCACATCACTTTGACTTTGAGTTTGTAAATATTCCATATGACTGTCTGGTAGACTAACGTTTTAGTCATTATTGTATTAAGGAAAGCGTTTTCCATGAGGGATTATGTTACCGTTAGCTCTATTTGGATACTTCTATATGAAAGGCTTCACAAGAATCTTGGCGTGATCATTAGAAATACAGTTTATATTGCCTACTTGACAGCTAAGACAAATTACCTCGAAAACATCGAAGCTGCAACTTGAGTGTGTTTCCAGGTGGAAATCGTCAATCTTCAACTCGACATGGAAGCCAGTAGGTACTCTGATATTCCACACACAGGTTTTTCCATGATGGTACGACAGAGGGTAGTTAGGGCTAGTAAAACTCCCCTGTGTGCCTGTTAATGTGCCCCCACACCCTGAAAATCAGAAAGTAATTGTAAATATATCTATATTCAACATTCTCTAAATATTTAATATTTTCGTGTGCTTTGGAGTGAGTGCGTACGTGCGTGCGAGCATAGGTGAATGAGGGAGGGAGAGGGAGGGAGTTGCAATTTGATGTCGCCATGACATTCTTCCGGGATTTAGCAATTAGGGTCAAGTTTTTCTTGTACAAAAGTGAATCACAGTTACAACACTTTAAAGGTACATTTCTTATCTTATTTTAAACATTGCAAAAAATAAACAGGTGTTTAAAACTCGGGCTACCAGCTACCAGCAATCAAAGCCAGCTATGACTTCACGCTGGGGATCATGAAAGTTGACAGTAATCCTGTTTCCTTCATAATAACCGAGCAGGATTTATGTCAATACTTCAGTTATTAGTGTTCTACCTTCCGTAATAGCTTTGTAGGACACTGAGAAGCCTGTATAAGCAACAGATCCGTCAGTTCGGAACCTGACCATCATGGTGTTGCCAGTGGTTGTCAGGGTCCGGGATGTGCTTTGATTACCACACAGCCTGGCTAACAGTGGGGCGGAGTCATCCTCTCCTCCATAGACCTGAGGAACACAAGGTGTTAACGTCACATCGTGTGAGGCTCTGTTGTATTCTATATGTCCTCAGTATTAAAGTGTGGCACTCTCTGACCTCCATCAGCCTTACATTGATTTTTTTTTAACTTGTCTTTACATGCACATCACTTTGACTTTGAGTTTGTAAATATTCCATATGACTGTCTGGTAGACAAACGTTTTAGGCATTATTGTACTAAGGAAAGCGTTTTCCATGAGGGATTATGTTACCGTTAGCTGTATTTGGATACTTCTATATGAAGAACCTTGGCGTGATCATGAGAAATACAGTTTATATTGCCTATTTCACAACTAAGACGAAATACCTCGAAAACATCATAGTTGCAACTTGAGTGTGTTTCCAGGTGGAAATCGTCAATCTTCAACTCGACATGGAAGCCAGTAGGTACTCTGATATTCCACACACAGGTTTTTCCATGATGGTACGACAGAGGGTAGTTAGGGCTAGTAAAACTCCCCTGTGTGCCTGTTAATGTGCCCCCACACCCTGAAAATCAGAAAGTAATTGTAAATATATCTATATTCAACATTCTCTAAATATTTAATATTTTCGTGAGCTTTGGAGTGAGTGCGTACGTGCGTGCGAGCATAAAAGAATGAGGGAGGGAGAGAGGGAGGGAGTTGCAATTTGATGTCGCCATGACATTCTTCCGGGATTTAGCAATTAGGGTCAAGTTTTTTTCTTGTACAAAAGTGAATCACAGTTACAACACTTTAAAGGTACATTTCTTATCTTATTTTAAACATTGCAAAAAAATAAACAGGTGTGTTTAAAACTCGGGCTACCAGCTACCAGCAATCAAAGCCAGCTATGACTTCACGCTGGGGATCATGAAAGTTGACAGTAATCCTGTTTCCTTCATAATAACCGAGCAGGATTTATGTCAATACTTCAGTTATTAGTGTTCTACCTTCCGTAATAGCTTTGTAGGACACTGAGAAGCCTGTATAAGCAACAGATCCGTCAGTTCGGAACCTGACATCATCATGGTGTTGCCAGTGGTTGTCAGGGTCCGGGATGTGCTTTGATTACCACACAGCCTGGCTAACAGTGGGGCGGAGTCATCCTCTCCTCCATAGACCTGAGGAACACAAGGTGTTAACGTCACATCGTGTGAGACTCTGTTGTATTCTATATGTCCTCAGTATTAACGTGTGGCACTCTCTGACCTCCATCAGCCTTACATTGATTTTTTTAACTTGTCTTTACATGCACATCACTTTGACTTTGAGTTTGTAAATATTCCATATGACTGTCTGGTAGATCAAACGTTTTAGGCATTATTGTACTAAGGAAAGCGTTTTCCATGAGGGATTATGTTACCGTTAGCTGTATTTGGATACTTCTATATGAAAGGCTTCACAAGAATCTTGGCGTGATCATGAGAAATACAGTTTATATTGCCTATTTCACAACTAAGACAAATTACCTCGAAAACATCGAAGCTGCAACTTGAGTGTGCTTCCAGGTGGAAATCGTCAATCTTCAACTCGACATGGAAGCCAGTAGGTACTCTGATATTCCACACACAGGTTTTTCCATGATGGTACGACAGAGGGTAGTTAGGGCTAGTAAAACTCCCCTGTGTGCCTGTTAATGTGCCCCACATCCTGAAAATCAGAAAGTAATTGTAAATATATCTATATTCAACATTCTCTTAAATATTTAATATTTTCGTGTGATTTTTGGAGTGAGTGCGTACGTGCGTGCGAGCATAGGTGAATGAGGGAGGGAGAGTCAGGAGGGAGTTGTGACAATTTGATGTCGCCATGACATTCTTCCGGGATTTAGCAATTAGGGTCAAGTTGTTTTCTTGTACAAAAGTGAATCACAGTTACAACACTTTAAAGGTACATTTCTTATCTTATTTTAAACATTGCAAAAAATAAACAGGTGTTTAAAACTCGGGCTACCAGCTACCAGCAATCAAAGCCAGCTATGACATCACGCTGGGGATCATGAAGGTTGACAGTAATCCTGTTTCCTTCATAATAACCGAGCAGGATTTATGTCAACACTTTAGTTATTAGTATTTTACCTTCCGTAATAGCTTTGTAGGACACCGAGAAGCCTGTATAAGCAACAGATCCGTCAGTTCGGAACCTGACCATCATGGTGTTGCCAGTGGTTGTCAGGGTCCGGGATGTGGTTTGATTGCCACACATCCTGGCTAACAGTGGGGCGGAGTCATCCTCTCCTCCATAGACCTGAGGAACACAAGGTGTTAACGTCACATCGTGTGAGACTCTGTTGTATTCTATATGTCCTCAGTATTAAAGTGTGGCACTCTCTGACCTCCATCAGCCTTACATTGATTCTTTTTAACTTGTCTTTACATGCACATCACTTTGACTTTGAGTTTGTAAATATTCCATATGACTGCCTGGTAGATCAAACGTTTTAGGCATTATTGTACTAAGGAAAGCGTTTTCCATGAGGGATTATGTTACCGTTAGCTGTATTTGGATACTTCTATATGAAAGGCTTCACAAGAATCTTGGCGTGATCATAAAAATACAGTTTATATTGCCTACTTGACAGCTAAGACAAATTACCTCGAAAACATCGAAGCTGCAATTTGAGTGTGCTTCCAGGTGGAAATCGTCAATCTTCAACTCGATATGGGAGCCAGTAGGTACTCTGATATTCCACACACAGATTTTTCCTATGATGGTACGACAGAGGGTAGTTAGGGCTAGTAAAACTCCCCTGTGTGCCTGTTAATGTGCCCCCACATCCTGAAAATCAGAAATTAATTGTAAATATATCTATATTCAACATTCATTTAAATATTTAATATTTTCGTGTGCTTTGGAGTGAGTGCGTGCGTGCATGAGTGCATAGGTGAATGAATGGGGAGGGAGAGATGGGTGGGAGTTGCAATTTGATGTCAGTGACAATGACATTCTTCCGGGATTTAGCAATTAGGGTCAAGTTTTTTCTTGTACAAAAGTGAATCACAGTTACAACACTTTAAAGGTACATTTCTTATCCATTTTAAACATTGAAAAAAAATAAACAGGTGTTTAAAACTCGGGCTACCAGCTACCAGCAATCAAAGCCAGCTATGACTTCACGCTGGGGATCATGAAGGTTGACGGTAATTCTGTTTCCTTCATGATATCAGAGCAACACTCATGTCAACACTTTAGTTATTAGTGTTTTACCTTCCGTAACAGCTTTGTAGGACACTGAGAAGCCTGTATGAGCAACAGATCCGTCAGTTCGGAACCTGACCATCATGGTGTTGCCAGTGGTTGTCAGGGTCCGGGATGTGGTTTGATTGCCACACATCCTGGCTAACAGTGGGGCGGAGTCATCCTCTCCTCCATAGACCTGAGGAACACAAGGTGTTAACGTCACGTCGTGAGAGGCTGTTGTATTCTATATGTCCTCAGTATTAAAGTGTGACACTCTCTGACCTCCATCAGCCTTTCATTGATTCTTTTTAATTTGCTGTTACATGCACATCACTTTGACTTTGGGTTTGTAAATATTCCATATGACTGCCTACTAGATCAAACGTTTTAGGCATTATTGTACTAAGGAAAGCGTTTTCCATGAGGGATTATGTTACCGTTTGCTGTACTCGGATACTTCTATATGACAGGTTTCACAAGAACCTGGGCGTGATCATGAGAAATACAGTTTATATTGCCTATTTCACAACTAAGACGAAATACCTCGAAAACATCATAGTTGCAACTTGAGTGTGCTTCCAGGTGGAAATCGTCAATCTTCAACTCGACATGGAAGCCAGTAGGTACTCTGATATTCCACTCACAGGTTTTTCCATGATGGTACGACAGAGGGTAGTTAGGGCTAGTAAAACTCCCCTGTGTGCCTGTTAATGTGCCCCCACACCCTGGAACTAAAAGTATTAAGTAATTGTAACTATTACTAGATGCCTACATTTTTGTCTTCAAGAACCTAGTGCATCGGTGCAATTCATGTTCATCAAATCATAATTATATATTGCCCCTGATGACTACACTAAGAAGCGCACTTATAAACAGATACACCCACATGTGAAACACAAAGAAACACAACAGGCACGTGCGCCTGCATACAGAGAGAGTGAGTGAGTGAGTGAGTTAATATTTAACGTCACATCGGCAATATTTCAGCCATATCGTGACGAGAATATTTGATATTGGAATGAAATATATGTAAATTATAAAAATCTGCCGACGAAGGGCAGTAAAACAACTAGAATATCACAGATATACATGTAAAACTAGTAATAGAGTCTAAAACATTTTAACCATAGGGGACAACACAATATAAAAATAGGCTATAGATGCATACAGAGAGAGAGAGAGAGAGAGAGAGAGAGAGAGACAGACAGAGAGACAGAGAGAGACAGACAGACAGAGAGAGACAGACAGAGAGACAGAGACAGAGTACTCACCAGTAGCTGCAGTTTGCAATGCAAGCACAAAACCAATGATGGCGACGAAATAGAACCCAAACCCGGACATGTTGTTCAATGCAGGACTGCAAAAGACTGCACGTTCGAGTGTATAATGCCCCTTTTATACCCACAGATAAACAGGGGGCGAATGAGTCATGTTATAGGAGCGAGATCCGGTTTCTAATTTTAAGACCACATGTAGAAGGAATCAAAAGCTCAACCGTCACATGAGAAATACTAAGGCAGTTTCCAAGAAATACATGTGTACTCAAACAATGACATCAACCCGGAAGTTGTGAATTGAAGCATTAGTGTCTGACGTGTGATGGCAGGTGGTTGCGTATTTCTATATGTGATTGGTCTGTGTCCCTGTGGGTGGGTGTGGGGTTGTACTCCGTATATCAGACCAGGTGACTACCCATTTAGCCTATCAGAATGCAGCGGTGTAAACTTTGATACATTATACACAGTTTAACTTATTTTAAATATTTGTGGTGTTCAATTTGAAGTTGTCCTTAAAAATAATTAACTCTTTTGCATTTAGCGTAAAGGTCCAGTTGCAATAGTTCTTCACCAAATAGTCCAGTGTGATAACACTACAAATATTCCTAGACCGCAACTCGCAGTTGAATATACTTCGCTAACGATTAACGATATGTGACTTGGGCTTACAGAAGCTGCAGAGAACAACTAGTTCATTGTCCTTATATTTCAACCAATTAAGACCCGGGTTAGAACTGGGTCTTCATCCGGGTTTCCAAATTTGAAGCACCAGTGACATAAGTCTGCTGCCTTTTTAATTTTCACTTCAACCTCATGTTCCCGGTTTTTGTCAGTTGAGGAGTGAACATGTCTTTGCATGTGTTTGTGATGACTGGCACCGGCATGGCAGGATACGCCTTTCCGCGAGCACCCTTTATAAGAATACTCTTATTGTGATTCATAAATAGAAGCCATTTCAACAACCATAAAGCACCCTTTCAAATGTGGGATAATGTAGGATTCCTAATGTTGCATATACATGGGTTTATGAGTCACCATTATGTACACCAGGAAGACCAAACATTATTGTCTATTTTATCGTAAACGTAACTGTACAGATTTTGAGTATCACGTAACTCTGACGCAAGAGGCTATGAATAATTCAGTCAGTTGATCGAATTGCGTGTTTGGTATTCCCGCTGTGTAATATCCTGGAACATTAACATTAGCTGTCACGTACTTTGAACATGTATCAAACATACATGTATTCTGACAAAGGAAGTTACACATAGAATGTTAGCACAGAAGAATACAAGTCTTCTCTTCACTCTCCTCAGAAACAAATGCCGTTTCGTGTAAAGACGAAAGACTTCTGGGGAACGTATAAGGGTGAATAAATGCTAAAAATATCTTATGACGTAAGAAATTTTAAAGATAACAAAAAGTAACACTGCACGAAAGCGGATGCAGACAAGAATCACACCTTTTTTTTTCTGCAGGTCCTTTTTACCATGGCCGACAGCTTTTACATCCCCAACAAATAAGAGTATTATTTCCATATTAAAATAAAGGGCCTACACATTCTGATCAGGACCCACACCTTTTTATGGTTCTGGGTCCTTAGGGCCTGCGGCTTTTCAGGGTTAAGGGGAAAACTGCCAATTTAAAAATGATACCTACTACACTTTCGAGATATGGTTCTGACAAACACAACTCTATTGACACAGTCAAAAACAAACTTGCTACCGTGGAATTCTTAACAATCCAAGTAGCACAAGGCACCATTTGACAATGTGGTCTTTGAGTGCGCACAGTTGCATGAAAGAATATCTATTAGTTTTAGAGTCAAAGTCAACCTTGTTGCCATGGAAAGAGGAAATAATTTCACTTTCTCAAAGTGCCTAAATAGTTGAAGGCACCACTTCAGCCCTTGGTATTTTACATGTACTAGGTTTGGATGACACATTTCAACTAGTTTTCAAGCTCTGGAAACGAAATCCACCCCTCCTTTTGAAACCAAGTCCAAGTTGTTTCAATGGAAATGAAGAACAATATAATAAAATGGCGCGGTAAGTCAGAGGTATGGCTTTACCATGGTGATAGCAATTTTCCAGAAAATATATCGTCACGAGAGCTACTGAATGGGTTATCATTACAGAAGGCCATTTGTCAATCTTAATTAGAGGCTGTTTACACAGTAATTACAAGTATTGTTTACAAATTCAAAATGTTTCCCAAATCAGTGGCACATAGAATCCAAAATCAAGGCTTGACCAAGAATGAAAGTTTCAAGAAATGAACGATACAGTTGGAAAAAGGTATCGCAGTACACCATTTTTTCAAAGCATCAATAAGTTACCACCATTTACCATGGCAAAAGAATTTATCCAAAACTCATTTTAACTTACTCTCTGCATACATTGACACTCAAGTAATAATCGAATTGCAAATATTTGGCTACAGTAATATTTATTGTAAGACACCGCCGTAATTATTAATCTGTATTGATCTTATCAGATTCAAGAGGGAAGTTCTGTGCTATTTACTGTATTTAGACTCTACACAAGGGTCAGGTGCGTCTTCTGTCATTTCATATTACGTCACGATTGCTTACAACATTTATTTAGTGTTTGCTTTGGTTCACCTTATTAGTTTACGTAGAGGCTTCTGGGTAACATATTGTTTCCACTTGGAAACCGTCAGGTAACACAACTAACATATTATACAAGCATGTGTGTGTTATGCCCATAACCGTGACGTCTTAACAAAGCATGATGCCGCTATTACATTGATCTCGGGTGCATTGTATACACAGAATGTCGGTGGAGGCACAAAACAGCCTTGTTCAATATCACAGCTATACAATGACATGAAAAGCACAGAAAGCGAACTGTGACGCAGACACGGATATGCACTGGAGTGTTGAAAGACTACGGGTCCCATATACTGTGTGCATTATTCCTGCGCCACTTTTTCGACTAATAGTTTAATGTAAAGACGCACAGCCACTTTTCAGGAAACATGGTTTGCGAGGCCTCCTTGAAACACCAACATTGTATTGGTATGTATGGCAGTGAGAACGTTGACAATAAATGCTGTACTCTCAACAGGAAATCATTTGACTCCTAACATAAGATAGCTATTCAGATTTGAATGGCATGCGTTCTGCGTTCGTCCCTGTCCTCTTTATTAATGTGTCCCTTGCCTAGAGAGGCTGTTGGTGGTTGACAACACACTGCGTTCATTTGGGAAATCGAACCTTTATGAATAGTGTGATATATCGTATATCCACTAGGCTACCTTCAGATTAAGGTATCGTTAGAGGTTGTAAACGATATTCCACGAAGTGTGAGATCAGGATCGTCATGCGCGCGAGTAGTGTTCCGGTTTTATCAATCAAGAAAGTGATAGGTCTTCAATACTGTTAAAACAATAGGAGGTGTTCAATAACAAGGTGTCACAACTATTCATATTTATTATCTTCAATGAGGTAAATAGTTTATAGGAGTAACAGGAACATCTGAATGAAATTTGCATTAGCCTTTGAACATCAGATAGATTTTGTTTGATGAATGGCCATAACATCAAGTCTAACTCATTAATATCGAGCAAATGAATCCGCCTCTACGAGGTATAATCCTATTCAAACATCCAGTATCATTTTGTTTCATCACATACCACGTTTCCTGTGTCATGTCTGGCCATGGCGAGGATTTTATGTGTGCTCATGTCATCCTGAAACACAGAACGACGTCCATGTCGGACGGAAAATGGCACCTCGTGCGCCTCCCGGACGTTGTCCGTGTAGTACTGTCCAGTGGCACGTCCGTGAATAACAAGTAAAGGCGTTGTGCCGGTCACGGTAATCCCACACTTTACCATTAACGTTAGAAGTAGTATACACAATGGGGTACGGGACCGCAAAGCAAAAAGCCTATATTAAAGTAATGGGGGAAAGACCAAAGGGTGCACTTCCAGTCAACATATGAGTATATAGGGACACTCTTTGTTTGCATTGTTGTTTTTTCTTCGTGATCCCAGTAGTCCATCCAACCCCAAGACAGGTATACGGAAAGCAAAAATGGAGTCCAGCACAGAAAAACAACAACAGTATGTCGATGGGGTTTGGACCACTCTCGTGTTGTTTCTTCATCAGCGAAAGTGCACTCGAATTAGAGATACACTAGGTACATAGGTATAGAACACAACAAAATGCCGGGTACCAAGCTATTGTGTGAAGCCTATGCCGAGATCAACCCGGTCGTTTGTCCCTTCGGGAAGCAAAGAGAAAGTACCACATATCGCAAGCCCTATACACGCGAATCTGTGGCAGCTCCAAGAGAACTCCCGACATGGCCGAAGTCTTTGAGAGCCTGCTGGAGAAGTGTCCCCAAATATTGCTTTCCAACCGAGAGAAACAAATCCTGGAGAAATCGGGACACACCTACTATGAGCGCTACCAGATACCTCGCCAGTTTCTTGAACTGTATTTGCTGCACTTTCACCAATTTGTAGAAAATAGTGGATTTTGTCTAACTCTATCTACCCAACCAATTTCGCCCCGCGGCGGGCAAACTCCACACCGTTCTCGTGGACAACTACTGCCGCCCAGCAGAACCGAAGGACAGAAGACACCACCGATGCACCGACTGCCTGGCCGCCATATTGGAACTCCCCACTCTCTTCAAGCGAGACAACTCTACGTGCCTCGAGCTTCCCCAGACAATAGTAGAATTCCTGGCGGGTCGACGACTTTGGAGCTGGCTCGCTAGCGGACAAGATGTCCGCTGGTTCTGCGACAGGCAATACTGTTGTGCTGGAGTGCGTCGTCATTCGGCAGGCGATAGGGTCGAAGGTTCTACAGCAGGCTCTTGCCATAGTTCATTCAGTCTTGTGGACCCAATACCGAAGCACTTTTTGACATCACTTACTGGGAGCACACCGCGAAGGTAGAGTATTTCTCAGATCTGGTCCGAAGACAAACCTCTATTTGGTGGCATGGTTGTTTTTGGTTTTTTCCTGGGTATATGTATATCCCATCCTTCCCATATGTCTATATTGAAATCCCAATCCTATCCCAATCCTCTCCGATTTTTCCCTGGGAGAGGATGGAAATCGCAATCCTATCCCAATCCTCTCCCAGGCAAAAATGGGAGAGGATTGGGATTTCCATATCGGTATTGGGTCCACAAGGCTGTACCAACTATGGCAAGAGCCTGCTGTAG